TTCTAGTGAGACAGAAACTGTTTCTTCTTCATTTTATTGGTTCTCTTAAATCCAATTGAAAAGTAGGAAGGACTTAACTTACTAAGGAATGAGTAGACAATCATCTCAAACAGATGAGATGATGATTTGTCTTCATAATGTTTGCTAAATTGTTCCTTCCAAAGTGCTCCATTTGCCTTCCCTTATAAAAAACAAAACAAAACATATGAGAGAGAGAGAAGAATGACTGTTGTAAATTGTGCTATCTATATTCCACACAAATTCCTTAATATCCTCGTGTATAATTTAGGCAGTGTACCACTAAGATTAAGAGTATAGCCACCTGGGAGCAGACTGCCTAGGCTGGAATCCCAACTCAAATTCTTATTAGCTGTGAAATCTAAGGTAAGAAATTGAATATCATTTAATATTCCTAGGTTGCCTTTTCCTCACATTAAAGGGGGAGAGTTTTATTACCAATCTTATAGGATTGTTGAGACCATTAAATAGCATAATACATGTAAAACACTTATAAAGGGACCTGGCTTACTTGCAAGCACTCAGTAAATATTAGTGATTATTATTTTCATTTCAGTAGCCACTTTCTCTAACTCCAACAACCCAATTCACAAGTATACATTTATGTAATTTTACGGAGTAATTTTTGTTGAATATAAATTTTGTAATAAAAAATAATACCCTTACTTTCACAGCATAGAACCCTTATTTCACACCTTAATTTCTAACAAAGACTTTTTTCTATTAAAGAGTGTGACTGTAAGTCATTGTGTTTGCATTTGATTTGACAATAATATCAGAAGAGTGTTGGAATATTTCATTTTGCTTCATTTTTTCCCTAGATTGTCACTAGGAGATACCTAAGTAAGCAAATAAATAAATATATGCATACATCTTAAGGTAAGTATGTATGTAGGTATGTAAGTATGTATGTGTGTGTTTAGATGCTACATCAGTCGAGATATACATAAGATATCCCCTTAAGGTGCATCTCCACCTATCTAACTTTACTCAGACGTAAAAACAAGTTTTTTTTTTTTTTCCCAAGGTCTCAACTCCCATTGCTAAACCAAAATTGGATTCTTCGTTCCTTCTGCAACATCCTCACCATATGTACCATATCCTTACCTTATAACTTAAATGTGTACTAAAAGAGACACTAGCCCTCTCTGCCTCTAAAGCACAGACTGATTTAACACATGATGGGAACAATTTGCTCCTCTGCGCCCTCTGGAAGGGAGCATTGAGTGGCCCAAATTTTCTGCTGCTGATGGAAAATTGCTTTTAAATGGAACTCAATTTACTTTTCTGAAATTTCAACCCCATATTTTCTAAACACCAATATTATTTCTCTATGAATATGAGTTTTAAAGATGCTGTTATTAAAAAATTAACTTAAAACAAAAAAACCCCCACAAGAACATTAAAAATGACTAGTCTTGAAATAAATTACAGAGATCAAAGTCTAGACATGGTTACAACGTCACCAGAGAAATGTTTTCGAAAGTTCTGTGAATGCAATGTATGATAGGCTTCATTCAGTATTGAAGGCTGAGAATCTTTACTATTTTCTTTCTTTTTCCTCTTCTCTCTCTCTCAATACACACACAAGACACATGTATTTCTCTGCTTATGAATTTCCATATACAGGAATAAATATATTCTCTTAAGGTCAAAAACATGTTAACTCTGCCTCCCATCAACAGGTAGTTTTAGTGGCTGTTTGTTTACATCATTTTAGAGTTATGAACAACCAGAATTAAGAAGATGTGGAGTATCTATATGTATACCGATAACTGTATATATCTATATTTCTATTTAATTATAAAATCTATATAACTCTCTTAGTTTACCAGCAATTAATCCCATTTTGAATCTAAGGCAGACACTTGTTAGGGCTAGAATTGTTGTTTGCTTGTTTTACTTTCTTTTCTTTTTCAAAGATGAGCAAAATCCTTTTGAATTGACTAAAAAGGTATTCTAGGTGAAAGAGAATTGAAATGTTTTCACATTAAAGAAATCTGTGTAGTTCAGTAGTAAAAAATATATATATAATTAATTACTTAAAGCAACCAAAACATGATTTATAACCATAAAATGACTCTTTCTCTGGAATCATTAAATCTTAATATGCAATCATTTACATGGTAAAATAATCAAGGATGGTAATTTATGAGTATTGAGGACAATTATTGTCATTTGGGATTTATATTATAAAATTAACACATGCAAAATAAGTTAGAGGACATATTAATTTACCTTGAAGTCTTGCTGACCAGAAGAAATCTATCTTACTCCCACTAAACCTGTTAAACATGTTAATATCAGCATTCACCAGAATCATCTGAGTGACTTGTTGAAAGACAGATTTTTGGTCCCTGACTCCAGTGATTCTGATTCACTAGATCTCCTAATAGTCTGCATTTCTAACAAGTTCCCAGGTGATGTTGGTGGTCCTGGTACCACACTTTGAAAACCACTGACCTATGGATGTATCCATTCCAACGAGGTGTCAGGCAGGTCCAGGTGCTCCAGCAATTGACTGTTTTTGAAAGTTTGTTACCACTGCAGCGCATGAGGCAATTAATCAATTGATTCATTTATTTAACTCTGACAATTGCTCAGAATAAACTTTATTTTAATTTCACATAACCAAACCAAAACCCATTGCCACTGAGTTGATTCCAACTCATAATGACCCTATAGGACAGAGCTGAACTGCCCCATGGGGTTTCCCAGGAGCGACTGGTGGACTCGAACTGCCGACCTCTTGGTTAGCAGCCATAGCTCTTAACTACTGCACCATCAGGGCTTCAAATTTAAACATTCCAATTTTCATCCAAACTTTCACCTTAATCCCATCAACCCTTGCCTGCTCATGTCCTTCCAGTCTCACCTTAGCCCCTGTTAAGATTTCACCAACTGCTTTTGGAATCACAAAAGTCTCTTCTCCACCCCATTCACAAGCATATGGACTTGAGTCTCTGGCTGGGGGTCAAATCTGAGAACCTTGGCCACTTTGCTAATCCTTATCTTGAATAATCTACCACACCATAACCCCAGATAATTCCAAGTGGGGCTTCTCATTGTGACCTTTGCTTTCTAGCTTTTAAAAATTCCTCCACAGGCCTGCATTCAGAAGATTTGTTTTTGGCTCTTTAATGTTGGAGGATCAGCAGGGGCTCCTATTAATCCACCCAAACTGTGACAATACTGTATTAAGACTTTTGTTTCAACCCCATCAACATTGGCCTTATTCATCTCATTTCTCAGTAACCTAAAGATTTCCACCCTGCTGAAAGGAGTCCCTCAACTCTTTGTCTTTCTTCCTATTCTCTTGGGAATCAGTTAGCCTTCTTCCTTATTTGTTGTTTTAACATAATTTTGCCTTTTGGAAATTCTCCAGGCTGGAGGCTACAGTTTAGGCAGCTAGAATTTAAACTGAGCACAGTGCCAGAATCTAGTTTACAGGCTCTAGTTTGGACTGGCAAGAATCTAAATATAGTCTTTTACCTTTTATTAAGACTAATGCAGTAATTAAAGAAAATTCTGTCATTTTAACAGAGAGAAAACCAAATTCTAGCTTTGCATACTATTGAAACTATAGCTCCTTAACAAATCTTATAAATAAAACCATGAAATCTTGGCTAACTTGATCACAACAAAATACATTTTCCACAAACCTTCTACAACTTTTCATAACCATTTAGATTTTGTCCTACACATTCATCTTTCTCATTCTGGAATATCTAGTCTTTTTACTTTAGGACAAATTTACTCTTTTTCCTTACAAAACATATCCTACATACCTTGTATGCTCAATCTAGCCTAAGTCCAAGATTTGAAGTTACCAAAAAGACCTTGGAAACTGTCTTTAAGCTAATATATTACAAAACATAAAACTTTTGTCAGAATAAATACACTTTCATGAATTTCTGGAACTGTTAGGACTATTACATGTATATAAGCACTTATTTATCTCTAAACCATCAGAATAAAGCTCTTTGAAGGGATATCATATTCTAATTGGTAATATCAGAAGTAGGAAATTATTACATATACATACGTAACATACACATACATACAGATAAAGACATACATAACAGATAGGGGAGCTGAAGGACAAACAGTTGCTCCCCCTGAAATCAGGGATTTAACCCCATCTTCTGCACACTTCAAAGTATCTTTTAGAGAAACAATTTTAGAATCATTTTGTCTTTTTAAAGCCTCGTTATACAAATCAAATAAGCACTCCATCCTTCTTGTGGAGTGAGTGATCCCCTTTTTTCAAGTGTACTTTTCAAATGAATCAATTTATATCAAAATGTTTTCAAAATGGTCACAGAAGGCCCAAATCATCCTTGGTGAATTTATACCGTTTAGAAATAGGCACAAGTATTAGGAACGAGGGAACATGAAGGAAGCAGGTTTTTTTTTTTTTTTTTTTGCGGGTGGATTGAGACATATATAATACCATGAGAGCTGGGCAACAGTCAGTAGGAATGTAATGCTTACACACCTAGTGTCTTGTTCCGCAAACCGACAGTTATCCAGCTCTGAATGCAGATCCAACAATCTGTGTTTCCTGGCAGGTGGAATACCAGAGAGACTGCTCTCTCTGGATCAAAGCCAAGATCTCAGAGCAAAACAAGGTGGAAGAAAAACCTCATCTGGTTTTATAAATGACTCACAGTGAAGTTTTTCCAAGTGGACAGCGGTCCAGTGAAAACTGTAAACTCGCCAATCTCTGAGGCCAGCCTGAACAACAGGCTTATAAGGCCTATGCCTGTGTTCTACCCTATGATTCTCCTTTTTATGAAAAACAACGCTTAGACAGCACAACCCAAAACAGTAACACAAAAGACAGTAAACAAAGATTAAAAAAAAAAAAAAGAAAGGGACAAAGCAAATGGGAGATAAAAACAAACAAAAACCCAGGCATCAAATAAAATTTCCTCAATGTGGCCACTGTAATTTTAAATTGTCTTTCGTCATATTAGACCATGGCCTCTGTCAGACCTAGTCTAGCTATCCTTGCACCTATTCCAGGTAAAATATTCAAATTAAAACAGAGAACTCTAATGCAAGGCAGTGGTGCTCAGATCCAAGAAGAACTTACTAACTGTGTAAAAGGAAACAGTGAGCACAATGCGCTCAGCAGGTACCTTTGCTTGGTTGACTGCTATTCCTGGGTGTTGATGGGAGGCTTCTTCAGATCCCACTTCTGACACCAGAACTCTGAAAGAAAAAATCAGTCTTTAATAACATTTTTGGTGATTTTATTCGGGCACACAACAATTCATGAATCAGGCAGCAACTGAAAGTAAATGTGGCTGGGATCTCCCTCAGGGAACAAAAAAGGAGTTCTTTTAACAGGCAAATGTAGAAACAAAACAAGCTAACACTTGATTGGTTGGAATCCAGTGTTTGACTTCATTTGGACTTAGGCGCTAAGGTATGTAAGGTTAACTGAATTGACAGCATCTAATTGGTTGGCATGAAGGTCTGTTTTGCTTACATAAGTAGTCAGGTCTTGGAGACTTATCAGTCTAATAGCTTCTTTTATATTTCTTTATCAATGGCAACTGGTTTTGGTTCGATGTTCCTGTTTATAGAGAGAGAGCAGACATTCTCTTTATTTCAGTCCCTTTGATTGTTATATTTATTTTTGCAAGTTAATTAGTTATTTTACATCAAAAAAAATCTCAGTGGAGTTTTAAAAAATTGAATATGCTCTTTCATATTGCAGAAAACAGAATGCAGAAGAGAAAAAAAGAAGCGGACAGAGAGAGAGAATTTACTGTTAGTCAAGTAATGACCTTCTCTTTGTGGGAATTACTTTCTGTTGTGGAGGGGAAGATAAGTGATAACTAAATAAAGACAAAGATGTAGTTTAGAGAGACCACTTGGGTAAAGTGAAGTCTGAGCAGAGACCTGGATGAACTGAACAACTAAGCTTGCAGGTAACTGGAGAAAGATTCATGGCTTGTGGTAAATAGCCCAGAACATGAAATCAAGCCAGCCTCGGTTCATGTTCTGATATCATTTTTTCATTAACAATCTGACACCTAAACAGTTAGCTAAATTATCTGAATCTTGTTGTTGTTAGTTGCTGTTGAGTCCGTTTTGACTCATGGAGACCCTATATGTGCAGAGTAGAACTGCTATATAGGGTTTTCAAGGCTGTGACTTTTTGGAAGCAGATTTCTAGGCCTGTCTTCTGAGAAGCCTCTGGGTGAGATCAAAGCATCAACCTTTCAGCTAGTAGTTCAGCACTTAACTGTTTATGTCACCCAGGTGCTCGTATCTGAGTCTTAATATACCTTAATCCCAAAATTTCAATATAAGTATCTGTTTTAAAATTGTCATGAATATTAAAAGGACCTAACTATGTTAAATGCCAAGCACAGTGCCTGGAAATAGTAGACATTCAGAAATAATAGTTCCATTGCATTTCATTGCATTCTGAACATCTGAGCTGATTTAGACTTCTGCAGTATCAAACATGGGTATTTTTCTTCCTTCTCCATTCATCTCATCATTCAGTATCATTTTTTTTAACATTACCTAAGTGGCCCAGACACTTTCATAAACTTACACCTTAAAGACATTTAGAATATAGCCCGGAACTGCTTGTACTTTTTGTCTAGCACGCCCAGTGTTAACAGATTTATAATTCGTATGATCAGTAAGTCATTTTGTGTCTATATGCAGGTCCTGGAATTTTGTATCAAAGATTTTAGTCCTTGACACCCCACACATATGACAGCAATATAAATATTTTCTGAAGCAAATACACTTCAAGTGTGCTTTTATTAATACACTAAACCTCCAATTTTGTAGTTTCCTTATACATTACAAACAAGGATTTCATTGAACCATTTGAATAAATAACTCAATTATTTCTACAAACATGTTCTGGTGTGGCTTGAATATTATTTATATTTTCTTTTTTTATATATAATTTTATTTTTGCTGTTGTTGAGAATATATGCAGGAAAATATACATCAATTCAATAGTTTCTACATGTACCATTTAGCAACACTGATCACATTCTTCCAGTTATGTAACCATTCTCACCCGCCTTTTCTGAGTTGTTCCTCCCCCATTAACATAAATTCACTACCCCTCAGGTTCCTATTGTCAATTTGATGCCCTATAGATAGTTCTTAAAAGAGCATAATGCTCAAGGTAGACATTTTTTACTAGTTAAGCTAAACTATTGTTTGGTTTTAGCAAGACTTCAAGGGATATTTTTGGTTTCAGGTTGAAAGATTATCTCAGGGCAATAGTTTCAGGGGTTCATCCAACCTTCATGGCTCCACAAGTCTGGAGTCCATGAGAATTTGAAATTCTGTTCTCCATTTTCCCCGGTTTGATCAGGATTCTTCTATGGAAATCTTGATCAAAATGTTCAGTAATGGTAGCCAGGCACCATCCAGTTCTTCTGGTCTCATGGCAACTGCCTCCTTTGCCATGAGACCAGAAGAACTGGATGTAGGCAATTAGCCACACATTCCATATCCTCCTCCTTTTCCTGACTTTCCTTCTTCTGCTATTGTTCCAGGCAAATAGAGACCAATTATTTTGCCTTGGGTGGTTGCTTGCAAGTTTTTAAGACCTCAGGCGCTACACATCGAACTAAGAGGTAGAACAGAAGCACTAAACATGTTATTAGGCCAATTAACTGGGATGTCCGATGAAACTATGACCCTAAACCTTAAAACTAAGAAACGAAATCCTGTGTGGTTTTTGGTTGTACATAAGCAGACTCAGCAGCTACTCTTATGCGTGTGTGTGTGTGTGTGTGTGTGTGTGTGTGTGTGTGTGTGTACTTCAGGTGAAGGTTTACAGAGCAAATTAGTTTCCCATTCCATAGTTTACACACAAATTGATCTGTGACATTGGTTGCAATTCCTGTAATATGTCAGCACTCTCTTCATTACCACCCTGAGTTCCCCATTTCCACTAGTCCAATTTTCCTGCCTTCTTATCCCTTTGCTTTTGGGCAGATGTTGCCCTTTTGGTCTCATATAGATGATTGTTCTATGGAACACTTTCTTCACAGGTGTTATTATTTATTTTACAGGCCTGTTTACAATTTGGCTGAAAGGTAATCTCCGAGAATGGCTTCAGTTCCAAGTTAGAAGGGTGTCTAAGAGCCATAGTCTTCGGAGTTCCTTCAGTTTTTCTCGGACTGGGAAATCTGGTCTTTTTTATGAATTTGAACTTGTTCCATATTTTTTTCCCACTCTAACAGGGACCTTCTATCGTGATACTGGTCAGAGCGGTTGGTAGTCATAGCCAGGCACCATCTAGTCCTTCTGACCTCAGGCTAGTGGAAGCTGTGGTTCCTGTGGTCCATTAATCCTTTGGACTAATTGCTTCCTTGCGTCTTTTGGTTTCTTCACACTCTCCTTTGCTCCGAACAGAAAGAGACCAATAATTGTATCTTACATGGCCACTCACAAGCTTTTAAGACCTCAGATGCTACTCACCAGAATAGGGTGTAGAACACTGTCTTTAGGAACTATATTATACCAATTGACTAGATGTCCCCCAGGAAGCTACTCTTTTGTTACTGTTGTTGTAAATATATCTATCACACAACTTTTGCCAATTCAACTTTTTACAGGTGTACAACTTATTGATAACAATTACAATTGGCTGTGCAACCTACCATTAATCAACATGCTTTTTCCATCACTGTTAACACCCCTTTTCCCCTTCCCTACCACCTCTGGTAACCACTAATAAACTCTGGTCTCTATACATTTGCCTTTTCTTGTCTTTTTATATACATGAGGTCATACAATATTTGTCCTTTTGTTATTGATTTATTTCACTCGGCATAACGTCTCCCAGCTCCTTCCATATTGTAGCATATGTCAAGATTTCATTTCTCCTGCTGGTTGAGTAGTATTTCATTGTTTGTATGTGCCACATTTTGTTTATCCATTCATCTGTTAATGGGCATTTAGGTTGTTTCTGCCTTTTGGCTATTGTGAATTGTGCTGCAATGAACATCGGTGTACAAGTCTCTGTTTGAGTCTCTGTTTTCAAGTCTTTTGGGTATATAGCTGAACTGCTGGGTCATGTGGTAGTTCTATTTTTAGGTTTTTGAGGAACCAGCACCCTGTTTTCCACAACAACTGTACCATTTTCCATTCCCTTAGCAATGGATAAAGTTTAAAATTTCCCCACATCCTTGCAACATTTGTTATTTTTCTGTTACTTTTTTTTCATCTTAGCCATCCTAGTGGGAGTGAAATGGTATCTCATTGTGGTTCTGATTTGCTCTCTCTCATGCGCTAATGATGCTGAACATCTTTTCATGTGTTTGGTAGCCATTTGAGTGTCCTCTTTGATGAAATGTGTATTCAAGTCCTTTGCCCATTTTATGATCGGGTTATTTGTCTTTTTGTTGTTAAGTTGTCAAATTTTATGTATTTTTTGGTTATTAGATTCCTGTCCAATATATGGTTCCTGAAGATATTCTCCCAGTCAGTAGCTTGTCTTTTCACTTTTTTGATGAACAAATTTTTTAATTTTTATGAGGTTCCACTTATTTATTTTGTCTTTTTCTATTTGTGCTTTTGTTATTATATTAGATAATCCATTGTTAAAAACTAGACCTGGCAGCATTTATGTTTTCTTAATAGCATCTTTCAGAAGAAAAAATATAACCACAACATAGGAGGTGTAAATAGGAAATATGGGAGGCTAAATTACCAGCTGAGTGAGGAATGAGGCTGTGGATTTAGGCAGTGCTTCAAATGATTCCTTCTGTTTCAAACCCCTGCTGGGAATGTTCATTTCTAACAAGTTCCCAGGTGATGCTAATGCTGCTAGTTAGGGACTAATTCTGAGAACAACTAGTAGAGCAGTGGTTCTCAAAATTTATTATGTATAAGAATCACCTGGGCGTCTTGTTACAATGTAGATTTTGATTCAATACATCTAGAGAGGAAATGCAAATTCTCAGCGGGAGTTCAAACTAGAAGGAACTGGTTCAAAGCCCTGGATTTAGGGGCCTGCAGCTTTAGTGACTGTGCACATTTGAGCCCTTGATGAGACTGCAGCTGCAGTGGTTTTTTAAGCATGCCTTAAGAGCCTGAAAAGCTAGGCCTGGCCTATTTGTCCCTGGCTCCCTTCCTCTT